AGCAGGTTGGTAGTCATACTATGACCAGGCCTCTATGCCATGCTGATGAATCTGAGCATTTCTATGAACAATGAGGAACCATTCAATGACCCTTTTCCTTTAAGACAAGAAAGAAGGCAATTAGAGCAAACAGATACAGATGAGTTGAAATTACAGGACTTGTTGAGGCTGTTGAGGGGCTCTAATATTGGTGGTCTCCATTTCTCAGTGAAAAAGACATTGGCTAATGTAACAGAGAGAAGTGACAGAGAAATTTGAAAATAATGGTGTATATTTGGAACCAACTCTAGCATATAGGAAGGGGAAGCAACTAGAGATGAATAAATGGATTACTGACCTGCAAATGTTAGCTATAACCAGTCCAGCCCTTTGTCACAGGTCTGGTTTTACATAGTCAATTGTTACCTAAATCAGTTTTCAAAATGGCATTTGTGGAATTGAAATATGGCAGAGAAACCACCTACGCCTTCATTGTAGTGATTCAAAATATAGTGGTTAAGATTCCAGGCACTACGGTCAGGAAGACCAGGTTTCAGAACTTTGTGGTTTTGAAGTAAGGCAGTGTACTGTATGACACTGAGCATGTTTCTATCTTTCTGAATTCCAGTCTCCACACTGTACAATAAATTATGCTGTAGATTTGGGTTTTTTTCTGTGTGATGAGCACAAAACAATAACTTCAGTTTATTAAGTATGTGAGATGAGCAATACTAATCTTCTTAAGCATATTAATTTGAATTATTTCAACAACTTTAGATAATCAGCATTGTTATTCCTGTTTGAAAACAGAGCAAACTGAGACTCAGAGATGTCACATGCTTGCCCAAAGTCACACAGTTGCTCGTGGTCATGACAGTATTTGAGGTCTGGTCTGTCTGCCTCCACCACCTGAGTCTTTCTCCACAAGCTTCTTCTTAGCTTTTCAAGTGTTCTCTCCACTGGAATGATAGACTCTTAGTGAGAGAATCCCCTGGTGCCATCCCAGGTTGGACAAAATGCTCTAGAAGTTTCTCCTAGCTGTTGTACTTCTGAGTTGTCATTAATGTTATTTTTTTGTCTGTTCTCCTTGAAGGGCATTCTCTTCTCCTCAGTGGAATGTATAAAATCCACACAGGACCTAGTAAAGCTCTATCTTCATGAATCAAATCGGGTTTACCGAGATAAAATGGTAGAAGAAAAGGACTTTGATCTTTTTGATAAAATCCAGACAGAAGTACTCAAGAAAATTTTCGATGTAAGTATTGCCCTGTGGATTTTTTTACATTTGAAAAATAAAACAAAAATTAAAATAATGACCAATTATGCAACTGATAAAATCTAGGCCATTAATTGGGAAAAGTCAGAGATCAAGTAAGGAAAGAAATCCTATCATTTTGCCCAGGTGAAAAAATAAGGGGAAAGAAGAGAAACAATTCAGTCATAGAATTTCAGTTGAGAAGTTCCAGAGAGATCAGCCAATCCAAATCCTCATATAGCACTGCGTCCCTTTAGCAGCATTTCCCAGGTGACATTCCAGCACCCTTGGGAATGCACTATCTCATCTTTCCCAAGGCAGCCATTTGGAAGTGCTAATGACTGGAAATTTGGAACATTTAGAACAATTTTAAAGACCAGAAATTTATTCTAAGAATGATTTTAAATTTATTTCCCTGTCCACTAATTCTAGGTCTACATGACAAACTTTCAACTATATTGCAACTGTTTATCCTGTCCTTCCTGAGTCTTCTCTTTTCCAGGCCAAATAGCCTGACACGGGTTGGTTTCAAACCCAAAGAAATTTGGTATCATCTTGACTGCTCGCCTATCAGTTCTCTCTTCTGAAATTGTGGTGCAGACTTTCATCACACACCCATTGAGGTCTGACCAAAAGCAAGATCCTAATTTCCCTTTTCTTATTATACTATGGTTCTGTTTCTGTGTTTCCCAAAATGTATCCTGCTGAACAGTTGTACTACAAGATACTCTTTGGAAAGAAGGTGTCCATGATAAAATGAATTGAGAAAGTGCTTTATATTATATCCCTCCCTTGGAAAGTCAGAGATTTAACGTGCATTTATTTATTTATTTTTAATTTAATTTTATTTTGCCTATATACAATGTGGGTGATTATTGTGGCCCATCACCGAAACCTCCCTCCCTCCTCCCTCTCCTCCCTCCCACCCAA